CAAACGGCCAAGGCTGCTTCTCGTCTGACGATCCAGGAGTCCGACTGTCCTTCCGAATTCCACTTCCGATGTCACTATTAATTACTGAACATTTTGTAATATATTTTCCGTTTGTTTTAGGTCCGATGAAGAGGGTTAGGGAAGAAATTCCAGGTACCTCAAGAGGCCCGTCATGTTCACCGTTCACCATCAGCGGTCAATTCCAACCGAACCTCGAAGCGACGACAACAGCGACAACGATAACAGCGACAACAGCAGCCAGCACTTCAACCGCCAGTTTCGAAGACGACCCCTTTTCGTCTTACAAACCGTTGAGAGTTTTTGTACATTTTTGTAAATAAATTATTTTTTTTTTATTAAATTATTTCAACGACTGTTGTTTTTTCTTCGGCGCAATCCATCCCCCGTAACACTAACAAACAAAACAGTTCAACGGTTTGGCAGTACAAGAAACATTTTGGCAAAAAAAGAAAATGCGAAAATTATAAAACTGGAAATCAACAGAAGCAAAACAAATATCATAATACAGTCAAGAAATGCTGTGATCACCCGTCAAACTTGCATGATATGCCTGCAGAACGGCCATTTCTTTGGCCTCTTAATGGTCCTAGAATAGCAAATTAACAACATAAAAATTATATAAACTTCAATCAAACTTCTCAAAACAATATTTTAATAATTGGTAACCACGATTCCTCAAAATCTACTAGCTCAATTGTGCCCATAGTTGGTACACATATTAAGCGCATACATAGTTTTTGTTTGAACTAGAATTAAGTTCAAATATTCATTTTTATTAATTCTAGATCCCTTTATTATGTAAAAAAAACGTAAATAAACAAAACGAAATCTTCAAATTGGCGCCATATTGTTTCTATTGACGTTTTTGATTTATTCTAGTTCAGACGATCACTTGACATGAATATTTTTAGAATCTCATTAGTCATTAGATTACACTGATCGACGAGGTTTTTCCCACACGGATTCTGTATGCCAATTATTACTTAACTACATACCCTCATTATAAAATAGAAAATTTTTTTTTTCTGTCACCCACAAATTTGGTGTCACAGTCACCTATGATTTTACTGTATTTTCCGCTAATATTACTGTACGTAATGTCAAATTGCATCAAGTTATCCTGTAAAACAGTGTCAAATTGTGAGTTTAGCATACATAAGATAATCGTCGTTAGTTTCTCAACATCCAAAAGAAGTGTATTAATCATCCTAACAGTTTTTGCTACGTATGTGGTGAACTGACTTTCAAAAGCCAGCGACGAAATTTCACTGAACTGGTGAAGCAGTGTTAGCGTGTACATTTTGGTTTCTCTGTGGCCCATCAAGATGGCCCTTCATGAAGTATTCTTCATATATGCTGTACGACATGCGTAAAGAATCTTACAAGTTGGGCAAAAGAAACGCGATATATGGCTTTCGAAAAACCCATGATTTGGACAGAGCCTGTAGATCACGTATCTGATTGCTACTTTTGCTTGACTAATATAAATGGAATGAATATGGCGTCAAAACATACTGTGAAATATGCAAATGTACATTCTGCATCACAACCATTTCGTTGGAGCGCTGATTTACCTGTTCCTGCAATGCCAAATCAGACAAATGACGCAGCAAAATGATGTCATCGATTTACCTTCATGTAGTACAATTGAAGATGAAGTTCATGATCCTACCTATGTGCCTGAAGGCGAGGAACCTCATTTTCTAACTCAAGCTGATCTTAACGATCTGGTTCGCGAAGAGCTACTTCGTTTAGATGATATAGTTACAGTCTATTCACAATCAGCTCAGTCTTGGTAACCGTTTTCTGAGCAACAAACATGTCCGAACCCGAAGTGGGGAATCAAGTTGAAATCGTGTAACTCCAAATTTACGTAAAACGAGGTAGCGTAAGTCGGGGTATTACTGTTTTTAAAAAATTATTCCAGTGATCCGGAATGTTGCATAATCCGAATTACCCTTGTTTTAATTGTTCCGGATTATCGAGTCTGTACTGTACCTAAAAAATCGGTATTCTAGACCCGAAGCCCCCTTAAGCAGCAGAATGCAAGGTAGGAGACCAAGAGGCAAGAGAAAAACGCACGATTCATAAGCGTCAGAACCTGGATGATAGTAGCTCTTAAATAGAGGTTATGGAAGCGAAAGGTACAGGAGGCCAAAGCGCCATTGGAGAGAGAGAAAAATTCTACAGCAGTGTTTGTATGAGCTTTATATGTATTGTCATGACCTTTTCTTCAGATTTTTTTTATATTTATTATACATATATTTAGTACACAAAAAATAAACCACTAAGATAATAATAACACAAATATCCAAAACATATCAATAACAAATTGTTAAGACATCATCTGTTCTTCCATAACTTTACTCAACCATTCTGGATGATGTTTTGAAATTAATTCAATCACTGAATTAACTTGATAACACAAGGACTGTATCTGTTTGTCCCATTGTGGCAATGTTTCCCGAGTTTCAAAATAAACGATTGAATCAATCTGATCAATATAACCATTCATCCTTCTTTCCGTTATCATTTGACTTGCAATCTTTTCCGCTTTTGATGGAACAATTTCCAATAAAGCTCCCAATTCCTCAAAACTAATATTATTATAAAGTTTACTTGCTGATAATAAATTATGTTCAATGACGGCGCGATCTAATATTGTAGATCCATCTACAGTTGTTGCTTTTTGATGGGGCTGGAGTAAAGCCTCAAATTCTTGTAACTCACTTCGGCGGATTATTCGGTCCAAATACATTTTTTCTAAAATTGAAACAGCCGGAAGTTGCTGACAGCGTTCGTCTTTGAATAATGTAGCTAACATTCGGGATCTTTGTTGACCAGCTGACGCTAAAACGGTACAAACTAATGCGTTACGGAGGGCCGTCATACGTTCATCTTCATGAATTATTGTTCTGTAGGATAACTCATTATATCTTTGAGCTGCCTCAATGAATTTTCGACGATAATCTAAAACGCGGGCATAACATACTTTATAATAAACTTGAAGTTGTTCATTTTTGGACTCTGCTTGAAGAAGCGACGCTCGATTTATAAAAGCTTCAGCTTGGAATGGGTCGTCATCTTCTAAATATAAACGGGCGATTTTTAGGTATGTTTCCAATTTGTAATCAACTGTGTATTGTTTTTGACCAGTTTCTAAAGGAATTCCAACTAAAACTCCAGCTGCTTCACGCCAATTTTGATTACGTTCATAAAGTTCTGCTAAATGTTGACGAATATGAGCTGCCTAATAATGCAAACAAAAATTAACTAACCATTCAAAAATTATATTAAATTTTATACCTGTTCCTCAAATGAAATAACTCTTGGTTGAATTTTCTCCAAAGTGTAGTGAGAAACTGCAATCGACACAGGATCACTTAATTTAACCAAATGGGAACTAATATCCGTTAGAATTTGTCTTGAAATCACTAAACTAACATTCTCGTTAACCATCGCGACAATAAATACTTGCAAACATTCTACGAGATCAGATTCAGGTCCATTTAGAATTGATTCCAAAACGAATCTATATCTTTCCGCTTGTTCTTTTGGGGTGCCGCCCGTTGTTAAAACGGAGAATAACTGTTGGCGTATAACGTTAACGTTCGCCGACATCTTCAACTTAGGTTTATATTTTTAAATGAAAGAAGATAAATCGCCGTATTTTGTAGTGTGAATGCGTCAAATGTAAATGTCAATTTAAAATGATTTGAGGTTATGTCGATCTTAATTAGCTGTAATCTTTTTTCATTATTGTTATTATACAATGTAATTTATGTGTTTAATATAATAAACGAAATATATTAAAATGGTATTTTAAATTCATTAAATTAAAGTTATTAATTCGCATTAAATTAACATTTTAATTCAATGGCTCTCACGATGGATGGCGCTTTATATACAGGATTTTTACTTATGCTTGCATAATAATTTTCGAACAACAGATCAAAATATAGAATAAAAATACATATGTTTTTTGTTGTAACGTAATTTTTTAAGGTTTAATTTGTTTATAATTAAATAAAAATATTTTTGTTATTGTTTTGAAGATTCGACGAGAGATGGTGCTGCTTTATATAACTTTTACAACTTAAAAAATAAATACGTTTTAATATTAATTCGATATTATTTAATTAAATAAACAAGAATCTCTATAGTAAAGCATACGTCTTAATTTAATTAATTATTTAAGTTTTACTTTCTTTAATATTAAAATTATTAATTCGCATTAAATTAATATTTTAATTCAATGGCTCAACGATGAATGGCGCTTTATATACAGGATTTTTAGTTATGCTTGAATAATAATTTTCGAACAACAGATCAAAATATGGAATAAAAATACTATTCTCTTTGTTGTAATGTAATTTTTTAAGCTTTAATTTGTTTAAAATTCAATAAAAATGTTTTTTTTATTGTTTTGATGATTCGGCGAGAGATGGTGCTGTTTTACATAACTTTTACAACTTAAAAAATAAATACGTTTTAATATTAATTCGATATTATTTTTATTAAAAAACAAGAATATCTATAGTAAAGCATACGTCTTAATTTAATTAATTAACTAAGTTTTAGTTTCTTTAATATTAAAATTATTAATTCGCCTTAAATTAATATTTTAATTCAATAGCTCGACGATGGATGGCGCTTTAAATACAGGATTTTTAGTTATGCTTGAATAATAATTTTCGAACAACAGATCAAAATATAGAATAAAAATACATATATTTTTTGTTGTAACGTAATTTTTTAAAGTTTAATTTATTTATAATTCAATAAAAATATTTTGCTATTGTTTTGAAGATTCGGCGAGAGATGGTGCTGTTTTAGATAACTTTTACAAGTTAAATAAAAAATAAATTCGTTTTAATATTTATTCAATATTATTTAATTAAATAAACAAGAATCTTTATAGTAAAGCATACGTCTTAATTTAATAAATTTTTTAAGTTTGACTTTTTGACCCATCTGTTGCACAACCAGTCGCTTTCTTACTCCCCTTCTGATTGGCCAGTTCAAATTTTTACCGGTTACCTTGTTTTCTAACCGTCATTCGTGTCAAACCCGCTAAAAAGCTACATTTTACAAGATTACAGCTTTGATTCAACTCTAAATGATTTAATATCTACCAATTAACGTTATTTTTTGCAATACCTTAACTGTATCTTGATAATGTCTTTCCCGAAAGCAAAAATAACCAGATTCAATGATATCACAGGTAAGATAACCTCACTTTTCTTAATACTACTTTTTTATACCGTTTTTAACTTTATTCCTTTTTGAATTTTAACTTAGATTGCACACCATCTCCAGCCCATTACAACCCCAAAGGAAATAACCGTATGGTTGGAGGTGTTATTACTGATAAAGATGATAATGGATCCGTTTCATCCACTAGCTCAACTCGTTTTCGTACTGTAAGTTACTTATTTGACTTTTTAATATCCAATTTAATTTAAATCAAATTANTTCATTAAATTGTCGCTCTGTTTCATGTACATTTCTGTCAGCACGAGCGAATATTAAAATTCCTCCGATTTTGTGCTCTAAACTCCTTCTAGCCATTTTGATCTCGCCTTTCTTTGGTTATACTTGGTCGGGTAGAATTCCAAGATAGAAATGAAGGACAATATTTGCATGCTGCCTTAAATACAAAATTTCAAGGTACCTACAAACTTTAAAATTGTTTTTATGACAATTTTTTCTTAGAAGTTTTAAGAAAAACTTTCTTTTTATTCTTTTCTTGCATTGATTGTTTCATAAAAACATTCTAAAAGAATTGCCGATTTTAACCCTGCTTAACCCGAGCGTAGACCGACCTTTAACTGACCGTCCACCATTTATTTGGCCTATTGTATCTCGACAGGTAGTCAACGAAGATACGTTGGTTTTTCCGGCGAAATTTCGCATTTTGTTTAATATTTATGTAAAAAACTAATAAACCGATATTTGATTGTGAGGTATCGTTAGATTCGTATTGTTTTATTCTTTCGGAAGATACCATAATATACTGGGTGTTCCATTTAAAAAAACAAAGTTGATCCATTTTCCGGAAAAACTAAAAGTTATAGCAAAATTTTCCAGAAGAAAATATTTGTGCTGATACAATATAGAAACTAACGTTTTTTTGCTCATATTTATATTGTAGTATTATGGCGACATCTAGCGGCAAAATTGTAGAACGCTCACGTGTTAACGAGTGCAACGACGACCAAGGACAGTTAACACACGACCACCAACTTAGAAGCATCACCTAGTTTAAGTGAAATCAAACTGTTTTAATCATTTAAGTTGTTTTATGTTATTCAAACAATATAACATAGTTTTTGAACATATTTAAATTGTACCTTATTATTATAATAAATAATAATACCACAATATTTATTTGATATTATTTAATTAAATAAACAAGAATCTCTATAGTAAAGCATACGTCTTAATTTAATTAATTGTCTAAGTTTTACTTTCTTTTTTATTAAAATTATTAATTCGCATTAAATTAATATTTTAATGCAATAGCTCGACGATGAATGGCGCTTTATATACAGGATTTTTAGTTATGTTTGAACAATAATTTTCGAACAACAGATCAAAATATGGAATAAAAATACATAATCTTTTTGTTGTAATATAATTTTTTAAGGTTTAATTTATTTATAATTCAATAAAAATGTTTTCTTTATTGTTTTGAAGATTCGACGAGAGATGGTGCTGCTTTAGATAACTTTTACAAGTTAAATAAAAAATAAATACGTTTTAATATTTATTCAATATTATTTAATTAAATAAACAAGAATCTCTATAGTAAAGCATACGTCTTAATTTAATTAATTATTTAAGTTTCACTTTCTTTAATATTAAAATTATTAATTCGCATTAAATTAATATTTTAATTCAATGGCTCAACGATGGATGGCGTTGTATATACAGATTTTTAGTTATGTGTGAATAATAATTTTCGAATAACAGATCAAAATATAGAATAAAAATACATATATTTTTTGTTGTAACGTAATTTTTGAAAGTTTAATTTATTTATAATTCAATAAAAATATTTTTGCTATTGTTTTGAAGATTCGGCGAGAGATGGTGCTGTTTTAGATAACTTTTACAAGTTAAATAAAAAATAAATTCGTTTTAATATTTATTCAATATTATTTAATTAAATAAACAAGAATCTTTATAGTAAAGCATACGTCTTAATTTAATAAATTTTTTAAGTTTGACTTTTTGACCCATCTGTTGCACAACCAGTCGCTTTCTTACTCCCCTTCTGATTGGCCAGTTCAAATTTTTACCGGTTACCTTGTTTTCTAACCGTCATTCGTGTCAAACCCGCTAAAAAGCTACATTTTACAAGATTACAGCTTTGATTCAACTCTAAATGATTTAATATCTACCAATTAACGTTATTTTTTGCAATACCTTAACTGTATCTTGATAATGTCTTTCCCGAAAGCAAAAATAACCAGATTCAATGATATCACAGGTAAGATAACCTCACTTTTCTTAATACTACTTTTTTATACCGTTTTTAACTTTATTCCTTTTTGAATTTTAACTTAGATTGCACACCATCTCCAGCCCATTACAACCCCAAAGGAAATAACCGTATGGTTGGAGGTGTTATTACTGATAAAGATGATAATGGATCCGTTTCATCCACTAGCTCAACTCGTTTTCGTACTGTAAGTTACTTATTTGACTTTTTAATATCCAATTTAATTTAAATCAAATTAAAGCCGAAGTCTGTTAAAAAAACGAAACCATTTGCTTCAAAAGAATCACTGAAAACTGAAGATTCAGAAACTTTAAAGGAAAAAATCGTTGAATGTGATAATAAAGATGCTTACATACAAGAATTACTTGACCAATTATCCAATTTGAAAGAAGAAACTGTTTATTTGCAATCACAAAAAGATTTAATAGCAAAAGAAGCCAATGATTTTAAATTAGAACTGAAGAAAATCACTGAAGAACATTCAATGTCACTTCAAGTAATCAAATTGTGCTTTTCCAATGATCAGAAGAAGTTAAATAATCAAATACGTGATTTGGCAGATGAATGTGATGAGTTGAGAGATGCTCATGATGAGGTTTTAAATTGGTTTTCTTTGGAATATGCAAAAGTTTCCGATAGTAGTGAAAAGATGACTGAATTTTTTAATACATCTCTTGCTAAGTATGCTTATAACTTAGATGACAGCCATAAAAAAATTGTGGAGAAAGAAAATGAGTTGGAGTTGTTAGAAAGTAAGTTAGATGCAGTTAAATATGCCCATAAAATTAGTATTGAAAATTGTTATCAAACACATCAAGAGAATATTAAAAATTTAGAAATGAGAATCATTGAGAAAATGAGAGATATTGAATTTGATTGTCTTGATGATGAATATGTTGAAGTTAGAGATGAAGAGGTACAAACTGAAGATTTATTTGATTTAATGCGACCTATATGCGACCCGAAAAGGGTTAAAAAAGATAAACTGTCTCAAAACTGTATAAGTCCAAATACACCACTAGATGTTAAAGGTTTATCTGATATTATTCAAAATAAATATAAAGAAAAGTATGAAAAACTTGAAAATGAAATAAAGTTATATAATAAAAATGAGATAAAAGCTTTAAAGGTTTCTCAAAACATTGAAATTGATGCTATTAAGTCAGAAAATGATGTACATTTACAACAAATTAAGGAAAATTATGATGAATCACTTCATTTAGGTAGAATTCAAGCTGAAGAAGAATGCAAAGTTATTGAATTAGATTATAAAGTGAAATTGGAAGCATTACAAGATGAGAATGAAGCTGTTTTAAGCGAATGTGAAAAAATTGGGGAATACACTATTTCTGAAAGTGAATTAGAAAGAGATAAACTAAAACAGGAGGTGAATGAAATCAAGAATAAATTAATAGAGGAACAAAAAAATAAAGCTGATTTTCTTGAATATGACAAATTATGTAAGGATTACGATTTGGCTGTTGATCAACATAAATCGCTGGAAACTGACTTATTAAACGTTTTATTAAAGAAACAACTCCAAATAAATAATTTTAAAAATGATCATTTTACTTATAATGTTACAATACATAAAACTCGAGAAACTATTGATGCCTTAACAAAAAGATTAATTGAATCAGATAATGATGTAGTTCAACTTAAAAATGAAATTAAAGAAATGGAAGAAAAAGCTTTAAATTTTGATGAAAAAAAATTAAAACTAAATGATGAATTAGATGGTTTAACAAAACTAAATGATGATTTAAAATTACAAAAGGAATCCACAAGTAAATTATATGAAAACAATTTGAAAGATTTGGAAAATAATTTATTACAAACCGTCGAAATGTACAAAGAATCAGTCGCAAAAATGATTTCAGATTATAAAATAAAAGCAGAAACAACCGAATATGATCTACAAGAAGTTGTTAAGTGTTTATACGAACAAGAAGTTGTTAACTCTGAAGCTTATAACTTGATTCATTTAGCAAATAACGAAATAGAAGACTTGGAAAAAAATAATCGCCTCTTTGAAGATAAAATTTGTACATTAAGACTAGAATTAGAACAATCAAAATCAAAAATCGATCAACTCAAAACCTCAAAAAAAGAAATGAAAGAAAAATTAAAATATGAACAACTTCAAAATGCTCAATTACAAGAAGAAATTATTAAATCCAAACAAGAACAAGAAGAAATTGAAACGTTACACAAACAAATTGCTCAATTAAAAGAAAAGAAACAAACTTATTCAGAATATTGTAAATATTATAGCGCAAAAGCTAAAGATTATGAGGTCGTTATTAACGAAATGAATGAAATCAATCGAAGTTATATCGATCAGACTCAAAAGTATGAGAATTTAGTTCAAAAATGTGAAGAGATTAATTCGAAAAACGATGAATTACAAAGAATTGCATCTGAAAAGGAGATTTTGATTGGACCATTTAAACAACAATTGGAAAATTATAAAGTTGAATGGCAAAATTTGATTGCGCAAAAAACGGATGCTGAAAATGAAGCTAGATCTGTTGGGATGAGATATGCTGAAGTGTTGGGACATCAAAATCAAAAGCAAAAAATTAAATATATTGTTGATTTAAAAGAGAAACATTTTAGTTTACTCAAGGTATGTTAAAAAATTTGTTTATCTTATTACATGTAGTAATTAATGATTTAAATTTATTAAAGGAAAAGGAAACGATGGAGTCGAAACTTCGCGCCCAAACGAAAACTATTGAAAAATTGAAATCTGAGTTAGCAATGGTTGGAAAATCGCCAAAAAAGAAGAAAGTAAAAGTAATTATTGTGAAGGAAAGTGAAGCAAATAAAGAGAATAGTTTGCATGAAAGTTTTGCAAGTCCACTTAGGGATAGGAACAGAGATGAATGAATGTGTTCTTTGATTTAATTAGAGGCTAGTTTATTATATTTATGGATTAACTTATTCTTATTATCTAGTGCCAAAGTTTTCATTTAGGTTAAAATTCGTATATTTCTTTTTATTGCTAAAATCATTTTGTATTAGAATATTTTTCAATAAATAAACTCAAGGGTTTTTGTTTTTTGTTTAATTTTGAAGGTGGCACTTAACCATTATTATACAGAGTGATTCAAAAAACCGCTGACAGACTTCTAGGGCAGGTAATACCAAAGAAATTGTATTACTAGAAGCACATATAAACACCAAGAGTTGAAGCCATCGTTCGATGTGTTTTGTTTACGTTTTCACTCACAAGGGAAGTATCAGAACCAGTGATGGGCGCTGGGTAAACACCCGGCGGGTAGGTATTTCTAAAATTGGTATTTATCCAAACAGTGGGTATAAAAGTGATACCAGTAAAAATATATCAGATTCCAAAAAAAAAATGAAGAGTAAGATGATATATCATTAGACAAATCTGTTGTAATTTAGATTAGATCAAGTTATTATGATTATTATCATCAAGCAGCCCTCTACGTCCATTGTTGGACATAGACTGTGACATAGACTTGGCGATTCTATTCTGTGCTGTCTGAATCCAATTGTTACTCATTCTTTTGACGTTTACTTCGTCTGTTCGCTCGCAGTCTCCACTCAAGTAATCGTTCCAGTTCCACTTAAGCTTTGCCACAATGTTGACCACATCATTTACGCCAGTTCTTCTTCATAGGTCTTCATTTCGTATGTAGTTCCTCAAAGTTAGACCCTGGATCGACCTAGGATCGAAATCTATCTTTGCGTTACTTGGACCCTCCTGGCAGTGGCTACCGTTAATGTTAAAGTTTCGGAGCCTTGTGTCATAGCCGGAAACACGTATTGATTGAAAGCCTTTCTTGGCCTTTTCTCTTGAATATGTCTCTAAGTTTTCCGTAGGATGCGCATACGAGTGTGATCTTTCTGTTTAGTTCGCTTGTTTGATTATCTCTCGATACACGAACCTCATAGCCAAGATATACATAGCTGTCAACCCTCTCAATCTCATTATCCCCAATGTTGATGTTAGAGCTGAGGACAAGATTTATCATAAATTTTAATTTCTCTTCGTTGATATTTAGCCCGACTTATCTTATATCGGCCGCGTAGCGCAAATTACTTAAGCATTTGCAATTAATTTTTATGCCTTTTTGGGTCAAATCCAGTTGTTTAAATGCACTCTGAGGACTGTGATGAACAATTTGGGTTCAACAGTGTATCGCCTTGTTTTACTCACAATCAGTGCTTTACTACTTCTACTCTCTTCAGTACTTTCATGCAATTTTACCATCATTGTAGTATTCTTGTAGATGTTAGAAATAAGTTTGGTATATCAATAATCGACTCTGCATTCTTGAAGTGCTTGCAAAACTGCCATCAACTCAATTTAAATTAAATTTTATAAATACCTCTAAATACCCATCTTGGGTAAATACCCCC